GTCTTGCTCTCGGCATTTTGCTTGTAGTTGCCCAAGGACGTGTCACACTGGCTTTCTTGGAGTTGATCTTCAGCGATCTCGAGTTTTACTCGGTAGTTGAAGCAGTTTTTGTACAAGTTGACGATGAGGGTGAGGGTAGTTTTGCAAGCAGCATACAAAGAGTTCATGGAGCTTTACATGTAGTGTTGGTCCACCATATTTCCAAATTTCTGTTTGGTTCCTTCTGTCTCGCCATTCTTCAGTTGTTCTGTAGCTTTGGTGAGAAGAAAGCTACCATCCACCTTCCATGCGATAACCTCCAGCGCAAGGCGTGTAACAGGTTTTGTCGGGTTGTATTCTTGTCAAGTACAGTTGAACTAAATACGTTGTATCTTGATAGTCTTAGACTGCCAGGAATTTACGATATTTGGCAGGAACTTTCACTCTACTTACCTGTAATATATACATCTACTTTATATTATTCACGGCAGCCCATAAACAATTTCAAACATGATAACAGCGAGAAATGGTTTTACTTTATTCAAATTATATTATTATTATTTTTTTTACTTCGGTAGCCTCGGTATAAATGCACTAAACAGAACGGGGTTTGTTAGCTCTACTGGCATAGGTGAATGGAAGTGTTTTTGAAATAGATTACTGTGCATAATTATCTTCCCACGAATCAATCAATGGGCTTAAAACTGTCCATATCATTCGTATTTCAGCATGACAGATACTGGTTACTTGTTTCCAGGGAGATAATATCATAACTTAAGCAGGAATCTGAGATCTTGTGTGCACGTGCTGATTTGACATTGGAACACAATATGTACACTAGGTGTAAATATGTCAAAACTATTTGTATAGACATGAATGACTCTAAGTCTCGGTCTGATAAAGGTACACAATTCCCAATATTTCTTACAAAAACAATTTCTTTGAATATTACACAAATACACACCTCTTATGATCATGGTAAGTAGTGTTTATAATTAACCAGGCAAAAACCTCAGAAAGATTTTTTGATGGCCTGGAGTTGTTGTCCTTTGTTAATTTAATGAGACCCAGTGGTTTGAAACGGGGGTGTAATAAATGGATAGTAAGTGTCGAAGGTGTGGAATGCCCCAAATCCTACCCCGTTCTATAGCCCTCGTTAGTGCCAAACGAGGATCTGAGAGAAATACATTCTCAACTTTTTGTATATCGGAATTAATGATAATATTGATTTAGACAATTCATATTTTTTATCAGCCGTCTCTGGTTCTTGCAGTTCCACTTAAATTTAACGTCGGACTGAATATCGGAATGGTGGGAATCGATGCTGTAAGTGTTACTAATACACATTAAAAATTTAGAAAATTCCTTTAAGTTGGTATTATACGCCGATTTAGGGTTTTCATAATCACCATGATATATTATAATATTGTGACCAGCTATTATACTTGTGGGTGGTAGGGAATATCATACCAATGTTCTTGTCAGTCGCATTATGAAATGAAATATACTTAACCTATTTACATATAATTATTGTTCATGTTAGTCACCATTTAAACCAAAACAGATAAAATCTTTAAAAATCAGCAATAATAAAGCAACTTAGATGGGGTCTCTATAGGTAGATCTGATATTTAAGGTTATCAAGGGCTAATAAATTTCGGACAATACGAAATAATGGTAACGCTATTAAGTGTCTGAGAATAAGGTCAGAAAATAACATTTGATATTACGAGAAATTTGGATTTGCTACAAATTCCCTTTTTTGCACAGGTCTGAAATAATATCAATCTGATCCCTTATGAACACACCCTTAGCTTTTTGATAGTTCCCGAGGCAAAATTACACAAATTTGGTAATTTACACAATGTCTATTACATGTATAATATGAATAAAAAAGAGATCTTTACTGCGATTTTTTTGTTATAGCTGGGTGTCGAGCTTATTAAAGAACTATCTCAGTCGACACATTATAAATGGAAGGCGAAGGAGGTTTTTTGTGGGACCTGACTTGTAAACCTCTTTAGATCGTTGAGGCTTCAGTTTTTCGGGCGTGATTGAAACTATCCTATATTTGCCACAAGCTGTTGAGGGCGTATCTTACCTTGGATGGCAAGATTAAATAGATTTGCCGTAAACTTGAATAGGCAACGCACCGATCTGCAAAGTGCATCATTCAATTATTCACAATTCTGTTTTCTACTTTTTGTATTGTTATTTAGATGTATGAAAATTTGAAGATAAGACGAAAATTATGCATCGGTTATTTTAGGAATGCATTGTAGAAATTCACACAAATTTCTTTTGACAGTTTTAAGGTGGGATGTAAATTTTCCATGTGGGTTGTTGCCCTAGGGTATAATTTTATACAAATGTCTATTTTGATGTAAGCTGCACAGATACAGCTGCAGTTCAAGGATGATGACTTTTCGCCATGTACATATATAACAATGCTTTATAGTACAGAAGATTCTTATATAACTGCAAAAGTTTACAACATCAAACGAAGGTTTCTTTATATTTATGCATGGTTTTTTGCATGGAGCTCATGTAAAAAATCTTCCACTCATTCGAAACTTCCCCAAACTATTAATGTCAATTGAAACTGAATGTATAAAGTTTCGTCATGTGTCTGAATGAAAAAATTGTTATAATAATTTCCTGTAGTCTATATTTTAGAGTTAAAATTACAATGATACAATTCAAAGGACGTTATCTTTTCATAACTATGAGTATCATGACTATGATAGGTCCCATCATTATGTTTGTAGTTTATCAGAAAAAACTTTATAAGTTGATGTTATCTGACCATTGTACAATGGTACCTGATACTGTACATCTCATATTATAAAACATGTTAGTCTTTCTTTCATTATCGTATCTTTATCATTAACCAACATTCCAGTATCTAATTGTGATTTTATAACCAATACATTTCTATGTTTGTTTAAATATCATACATATTGTCTTTCTCACGAACATAAACCCTATTAAATGAAGTACCTATATACATATATTTTATTTGAGAAAAAATGTTTAAAGCTCCACAAAAACTAAACATGTGTATCTCAACGAAATCCGACATTTCGTGGATTTATTCAATTTTCATATTCAACATTGATGATAAAAAATATATTAAATTGCAAGAATAATTTTAACCATGACAACACATGATTTAGCCATGTAGTTTTTCGTGGTGGGATATGCACCGCTTAGGTAGCTGCTACATTGACATGACAGCAATGAACAACATACATATATATACATAAATGTTTGCTACATAAATTTGTATGTGTCCTGAGCTACATTTTGTGTACTAAGCTGTGAACTCCGCTTTCTCTTTCTGACTCTTCAATGTATGCACCACTCAAATCCTTCGATTTCTACTGCTATATCTGACCCACTTTCTAGCAGGCCTTGTGATAGGGCCTACGTTTCGAACGTAGGCGAAGATATAATGTATACACCCCGACTACACCTAATATATAATATGACAATGTAAGACATATCGCAGACGACATCCTGGAACACCTTCTTGTATCACCATCCACACTTGGGCGTTAAATTGTATTTTTTGGTGTATTTTGAATTGTTTGATTCACGTAGACTATTGACAATAAATAACATTAGGTTTAGGTCAGAATATCTTCAGATGTTTAGTAATATTTGGGTTCAAAGGACCACCCACCTTTTTTCATCTAAGAATGTTGATTGAATATGAAAATAATACTGTTATATTTATCAATTGTTGTTAAATACCATATCTATATAATATTTAAACAACCTGTTCCACCCATTCAGGTCAAGGATTGCTTTGACCTTACGGAAAGTAAATGGAGTTTAAGTCTCCTACTGTTTCAGAAATTCAGAGGTAAATAAAACCACATTAATCATTATCCAGACCTAGGAGTATAGGTATACTCCAAGATCCAGACCTATCAAGATGCCAAAAATATTCCTGATAATTCATTAAAAATATTCCTGATAATTCATTAAAAATGGTCCTGATAATTCATTAAAAATATTCCTGATAATTCATTATATTAAAAATAGTCCTGATAATTCATTATATTAAAAATAGTCCTGATAATTCATTAAAAATATTCCTGATAATTCATTATATTAAAAATAGTCCTGATAATTCATTAAAAATATTCCTGATAATTCATTATATTAAAAATAGTCCTGATAATTCATTATATTAAAAATAGTCCTGATAATTCATTAAAAATAGTCCTGATAATTCATTAAAAATATTCCAGATAATTCATTATATTAAAAATATTCCTGATAATTCATTATATTAAAAATATTCCTGATAATTCATTAAAAATATTCCTGATAATTCATTATATTACAAATACTCCTGATCATTTAAGATGCTAAAAATGTTCTCAATCAATATGTCATCGAAGCTCTGAGGCAAGATAGTAAAGATGGTCTGAATCAATCAAGATGGTAAAGATGGTCTGAATCAATCAAGAGGTTAAAGATGGTCTGAATCAATCAAGATGGTAAAGATGATCTGAATCAATCAAGATGTTAAAGATGGTCTGAATCAATCAAGATGGTAAAGATGATCTGAATCAATCAAGATGTTAAAGATGCTCTGGATCAATCAAGATGTTAAAGATTCTCTGGATCAATCTAGATGTTAAAGATTCTCTGGATCAATCAAGATGTTAAAGATTCTCTGGATCAATCAAGATGGTAAAGATGATCTGAATCAATCAAGATGTTAAAGATGGTCTGAATCAATCAAGATGTTAAAGATGGTCTGGACCAATCAAGATGTTAAAGATTCTCTGGATCAATCAAGATGTTAAAGATTCTCTGGATCAATCAAGATGTTAAAGATTCTCTGGATCAATCAAGATGGTAAAGATGATCTGAATCAATCAAGATGTTAAAGATTCTCTGGATCAATCAAGATGTTAAAGATTCTCTGGATCAATCAAGATGGTAAAGATGATCTGAATCAATCAAGATGTTAAAGATGGTCTGGACCAATCAAGATGTTAAAGATTCTCTGGATCAATCAAGATGTTAAAGATTCTCTGGATCAATCTAGATGTTAAAGATTCTCTGGATCAATCAAGATGTTAAAGATTCTCTGGATCAATCAAGATGTTAAAGATTCTCTGGATCAATCTAGATGTTAAAGATGGTCTGGACCAATCAAGATGTTAAAGATTCTCTGGATCAATCAAGATGTTAAAGATGGTCTGGATCAATCAAGATGTTAAAGATTCTCTGGATCAATCAAGATGTCATGGATCATTCGAGATAGTAAAGAAACCAAGAATCATTCTGGATGTTCAGATATCCTTGAACGTCTCAGGTGTTTTAGATATAGACATCCGTATTCAATACAAAGTGTTACCTATTTTAATCTGCATCAACCAAATATCTCGCAAAGGACGAAGATGTTGGAAGAAGTGTTTAAAATCTGTATTTTTTTGTTGGGTGTGGTCGTAATGAAAGAATTAATGATTTTCTGATTTGGTTCTAGGTTATATTGTATATTAAAACTCATTAGAGAGAAACAATATTCTATATTTAAGAAACATAAATATCAATAACACAGTAATTATTGAAAGGAATAAAAGTATTATTCTATATAGCATTAAAATCCCTGTGTTGTTAGAATATAAGGTAGCTGCA